GTGACAGAGGAGAACAAGTGTGGTTACTGAGTGTTACCGAATTCATACAATTGGTCATTATAATAATTGTTTCCATTACACCAATCGCGTTATCTTGATAAAAGTAGGTCACTACAGGTGAATATAGTGTTTCTTCACCTTAAATAGAGTTGAATAAAACTGCTAATGATAAAGTGTAAAGTTCTACTGTCAAACTGACCAAAAATACGCTTCAACATTATTAGTGAAAGTTTGGCGTTTTTGTCCCAGTGAGAGTAAGGTTTTAGATCATAGGATGCCAACACTCACACATACTTCTCAACTTGTGACACCTCTACAAGGGACTCACTCACACATAGAGGATGTCTCAGATGGACTACTACACACTTCAAAGTATTGGAAGTATGTCCGTTATTTTCCTCCTATATTTTAATTCCAGTTAGATCCGCCTCAAGTGCCAGCTTATCATCTTGGTTGCAAACTACTTTCCAATGTTTCATATTGTCAGAGAAAATTTTAAAAAATCAGATGATGCCCAAAGTGGAAGGTCATTAATATAAATTAAAAGAAGAGGTCCTAGTACTGAACGCTGGAAAACTCCACTAGAACATTCTAAAGATATCGTGGAGGTTTCACGACGACTTTGGACTTCCATGAAATCTGGATCTGTCTTCGGAAATAGTTCATGGTAGTGGAACGCTTTCATTATCTTTTAATTCACTGAAAATCCGGAATTGCAAGACACTGACGAATAGTAAGAAGTATTGATTGGGCAAGAGCCTCTAGAATAGTTTCTCTCACTACTATTGAAACGGAAGTAAATAGTAAACCCTCTTCTAAAGAAGCCATCAGGTGAAATCACCATTATTTCTGGTAGTGGATCCCGCAGTTTTCAATCTCTTCTAAAAAACATTTGCACATCTTTTTTGTGTTCTGTTTCATCATCTGCGCTTCAGTGGTTCACTCCTAAACGTAGTCTTGTTTAACGACTTATCAACTGTCTGTTGAAGTCAAACTATTGTGAGCAGTTTGTCACACCACTATTATTTAAATATTTTGTAATATACTTGTTACAGATTTAACCCTTCCAGTAAAGCTGAGTAGGATTCGTTCATAAACGAAGGTATATTGGGGTTGTTTCTTCTGAATTCGTTCCAAGAGTACAGTGTACTCTCTGAATTTTACAAACATGGAGGGAGAGTTTTCCAGAGCAAATTTTAAGCAAGTTTCGATGATGATTCGGAACAGTCAATACTTCAAGCCATATAGTGTTCTGACGAGAAAATCTATGATGCTTTGCTCATTATCGGTCGTTGCATCCTCATAAGAAGTGACGTCTAGTATATCTCACAGAGTAATACTCATTCTATATACTACGGAATCATATACTGTGCCACAATCACCCAGAAAATGTAGGGTGGATCCAATGGTAGAATTTCTACCTCAGTAGGATAAATTTCTGAGGGTAGTGTTCTCTGGAGTAGGCGGTTCAATCGCGAAGCTTTCACTGCCTTCTCAAACAACATAATTACTCCTATTCAACATTAGAATCCTCTATTTCTCCGCACTTAGGGGAATCGGGCTCTAACAGCTCAGTCAGCTGATCAACTTGTAGAGTTATGGTCTTGGTCGGCATTGGTACACTTACCCTTGTTACTAGAATAATAAACTTGATCTTGAACTTTGAATCTGTCATAACAGGACTGCCTAATCTATCAGACCTTACATAGAAGTTACATCATTTTCTATAATGACCCGTCCTATCTTGTGGACATCGGTTCCAGCCAAGGAATTTTGAAGAGAACACTTACGAAGAGGATAGATTAACGTGTTTGGCACAGTGACTAGTGGTTTTGAGATCATTGCTTAATATGACTCCTAAATCTTTATAGTTTCTTACTTCGGGTAGCACGAATCCACGTGGTGTATAGTGATACGATTCGTCAGGGTTATTTAACTGCATCACTACACTCTTATTAAGATTTACTTCTAGTGACCACCTGTCTAACCATGCCACCAATGATCTAAGATCATCCTGTAATACCATCCTATGGTGTTAGTACAGTTAAACAAACAGGTACAATAAAACAACCACTGGTACAATTGTAAGATCCAAACTAAGTTTTGAACTGAAGAATATCTGTCTAGGTGGGTTAGATACGCGCCCTTACCCGATTGAAACTTAAACAATGTAATTGGGTAAAATGACGGTTCTATAATTCATCATGAATTTAAATGTACATTGTCACCTAAACAAATATGACCACCCAGCTATTCAATCATAAATTGTTCAATTGATCAAGTCTAAATTACAATAAATAAGGAAGTTGATAAAGGATACATGAAAATTACCAATCACAACAAATAAATGTCATTCTATCCTGTCTGGATAGATCGCGCACAGATTTGTCCAAAAGATAATATTTGGTTGCTTTACAACTTAGTGAAGGCGTAAGAAAAATAAAAACTATAATAAAATATAAATATTAATCACTCAAATGGAATCAAAAGAACTAACAAAATGTACAACTAAAGGAATCAATAGGAACAAACTGCAAGTGTCTACATGGAGTGATTTTTACACACAAAACATTTGAAATAGATCTTACACAATTGGTTATAATAATTGTTGTTTCCATTATAATAATCGCGTTCTTTTTATAAAAGTAGGTCACTACAGGACCCCCCCACCAGAAACGGGTTACATTTTTTATACGTAGCGATTTCGTTCGTGTGACTGTAGGACTAAAGGGTTGACGAACAGGAAGCGATAGTTAATCCTCGAGTTGTCACCGAAGGTCTTTTGCATACAACGGTCCCAGGAAAAACGTGCTGTACTCACTGCTTGCGTTAGCATGCCACACCAAAGTGGTTTGTATCCAGGATCTGAGGACTGCATTGGTAGGGATGCGGACCGGAAAACACTGTAGACGTAGGACGAAACGACGTTGAGCCAAGAAACCAGAAACGGCCAAAACAACCATGTTCGAGACCAAACATATGCCAGACAGATTCGAAACCGGAATATCGAATGAGTGCGTTGACAAGAGCGTGGGCGACTAGGCCAGTTTTACCAAAATCGACTGGAGTCGACGGTACCAAACGGACGACGGCCTGCAGCGTGGGCTCAGGATACAAAAAAAATCAAAGAAAGAGGGAAAGGTGTAGCATGCATATAGTGCAGGGATAGAGTCCTACACTGTATCCGTTGTTCATTGAGAGGTTATTCGCAAAAGCGTACGTGTAGACGGTAGTCTCGTTTGTACTTTGTGAGCCTGCAATCTCGTCCGAAGTCAATGGCGGCGTGGTCTGCCGATCTAGATATGAAACTGACGTCTCGTTCTCAGATGGTGCAGATAACACGTGCTATTGACTGGGACGTGAGAATGAGGTCTCTGATATATCTAGTGTGGAATCTGAAGTAGATGAAGAGATCCTACTAGTAGGTTTGATAGGTCTAGCATTGAGCCTCGACTTATCGGGCACAGCGCTGTCGTCGACGTGTGCTGGTTTGAGACGACCAATCTTGACTATCTTGACGCGGTCATGTCGATCGATCTTGAAGTTCTTTTCGTGACAGGAAGTCATATGAAAAGATCCTTCGTAAGGCTGTTGCGAAGGTTTGCGTACCGAATCTACTTGAATGAAAACATGTGAACAGGTAGATAACTCTCGAGGGAGAGCGACCTGTCGATGCTGTATTCGAGTTGACACCGGAGGCAGTGTTCGCATAAATTCAGACAATCGTTGGACGTAGTCTGATTTACCCAAATTATTACTGCTCCGTGGAATGAAAAATTCCTCGGGCAGACGCAATGTCGTGCCGTATACAGGTTCAGCAGCGGAACATTGAATATCTGCCCTTAAGCTCGTTCTGATACCTAGGAGGACGAACGTTAAGGTCTCGTACCAACTGTTGTTTTTGTGTGCTCGAAGAGCACTTTTAAGTTGGCGATGAAACCATCCAACTGAACCATTTGATCCTGGGTGGTAGGTGGTATTGCTTATGTGTTCCGTACCAAGCAGCCAGGTCAGTGAGGAGAATAATTGAAACTCGAATTTTTGTCCTCGGCCAGTCGTGACAGTCGAGGGACAACCGTACAGCGCTATCCATCGTTCTACGAAGCGGTGAGCAACTATCTCTGCCGTAATAGACGTGATGAGTATAGCTTCGGACCATCTTTTTAAACGGTCGATGCACGTGAGTATATGATCATATCCATGTGATGGTGGCAATGGTCTCACAATATCTAAATGAGCGTGATCGAAGCGAGCATCAGGCGTAGCGAACGTGCCAATGGGGGCAGCTACGTGCCTGTGCACTTTCGATTGTTGACATCGTAATCATTGCTTCAGCCACATACGGACATCTTTATTCATGGACGGCCGACGTACCGTGCAGCGATGAGGTGTAATGTGCCTGCGATACCTGGATGAGACAATCCACGCAAAGCATCGAAGACGAGACGACGGTAAGCAGAGGGTATGATGGGTCAGGGGAAACCAGTAGAAGCATCACGCGGGATATTACCTGAGCTAGTAACAAGGAGTACTTCCAGGCACTGAAGGGATGTATAATGTTGAGCTCCCGCGCAGGAGGGATCGCTTGCCTGAGCGGCAGCCATAGCAGAAAGATCGAGCACCGGTAAAGTAATTGCATTCACACGGATGCGTGACAGAGCACCAGCAACATAGTTCTACCCGCCTTTAGTGTGACGAAGGTCTGTCGTGAACTGAAAGATATAGTCCAAAGGTCTGCATTCTCGTGGTTAGTAGCCATCAGACTTGGTATGCAGAGCATAGGTTAAAGGCTTATGGTCGGTGAATAAAATGAAATGGCGACCTTCTACTGCGTGCCGGAAATGCTTGATGGCACAGTAGGCTGCTAGTAGTTCTTGACCAAAAGCGCTATATCTCGTCCTCATGGGAGTGAGGCGTCGTGAGAAAAATTAGAGATGTTGCCAACTTCTCGAAACGTTCTGTCGTATGACGGCTCCCATAGCAAAAATCTACGCACCAACCTCTATACTAAGCGTGGGTGATGGGTCGGGACGAGCGAGGAGTGTAACTTGAGCCAGAGCCATTTCGATCTCTGAAAATGCAGCACGCGCGGCATCGTCCAATTCTAATTTGTGTGGATTACCGCGAAGTAAGTCGGCTGATGGTCGCAATCGTTCTGTTGCGTGTCGGATGAAACGTCGGTAGAAGTTAACCAAACCGAAAAATGCCTTCAGTTCCTTGAATGAGAACGGTACGGTGTACTCCGTTATTGCACGTACTTTGTCCTCACAAGGTAAAATACCCTCTTGCTTAATAGTGTGACCTAAGAACATTATTTCTGATTTGCTCAGTTCACACTTGTCCGGGTTAACTACTATTCCATTGTCCAAAAGACGTTGGAATAAGAGTGTAAGATGTTGATAATGTTCATCTACGTTTGATGATGCGATTAGCAGATCATCAATATAGACGTGAACAAAATCTAAGTCTCGTACTATGTCATCGATAAACCTTTGGAAAGTTTGAGCAGCATTCCGTAATCCAAGTGGCATTCGTAAGAACTCAAACAGACCGAAGGGAGACGTGATAGCAGTTTTCTCGATGTCTTCAAAAGCGACTGGGATCTACTGACATGCTCGTACCAGATCGATTTCAGAAAAAGCAGTCGTGCCCTTGAGTGATGCCGTGATGTCGTTTATGTGGGGGATAGGGCAGCTATCAAAATGTGTAGCTATATTTAATGCTTAATAGTCGCCACATGGTGTCCAACTAACCCCATCCTTTTTGCGAAACATGTGAAGAGGTGAGGCTCAAGGGCCGTAAGAAGGACGAATAATACCAGTAGCTAGTAAACTGTCAAACTCACGTTTAGCGAAAGCCAATTTATCCGGTGCCAGTCGGCGAGGTCTTGCCGTGACTGGGGGTCCGCGGGTGACTATGTGGTGTACCACACGATTGGTCACCGATGGTAGCTCCTCAAGAGGTTTGGTTAGTTGGGGAATTTCTGAAATAAAGCGTGGAATACATCGTCACGCGAGTGAAAAATGCTTGTGATTCGGTACGCATTTGTCTGAGCTTTAAAGCCCATGAATTTACTGTTTGACAAAGTATAGATTAGCTGCAGCCTAAGTGAATTGATTTGCAAGTCATAGTGCTGTAGGAAATCAATACCGAGTATGGTTGTGGGAACATCGGCAATGATGAACGTCAACAGATAATATCGTCGGTTTCACAGGTTGTCCGTAAGCTGTCGTGTACCATAAGTAGGAATGGCTGAGTCATTTGCAGCGAGTAGTCGAAGCATCTTAGCTTTACATTCACTTTACATTCAACCCACCTGTAAGTAACACTGTTAAGAACAACAATTAATCCCACACTCCCAACTTAATTATTACTCATCATTTCCCGATCAGTTACTGACGCCTACTTTCCATTTGCCATACAACTTGGCAGTTTCTGGTGGACTATTATGGATCGCTCGGCAATCTTCGGTGCATGAAGACCCTCTATATGTTTGTTACCTATTCAAACGGCCGTTGGGTCTAGTGGGATGGTATTGTAAAGGAAGGAAATATTATTCGGCGCTAGCCAAATCGAATATCGAACGGTTTACCGAACTTCTTCAAAGTGGAGGATAACCGATGTACATTGGTCAAATGGACGTCATGGACTGGCTCACACAGCAGTGGTCGTACTGTTTTTTTGTATCTAATCTTATTAATACATTTCCCTAATATCGTTATGTAACTGGATACAACTTAAGAATAATCCGCTATAGGTAGTAACCGTAGGGTGTGACTTCTATATAAGCTAGGAGCTCACACCATTCTCGTCCAACTGGAGTAGGCCTGTAGAAACATGGACTACTATGGTATCAGTGCATTTATTTCCACTACTACCTAATGTTAGATTTGTCATGATGTGAAAGTTACGTCATTGTCTATTCTGACTCATCGTACCGTAACGATTAACAATGTGATGCTTAGCACTTCCGAATAGCACATTTGGACTGGGAATGGAATAGCATATCTAATGCAATTAGTAAAAGGTTACACGTACTGACCACGTCTGCAAAGTCGAGCCATGCCACCTCGAATGATTATTCACACATTCACAACTACCGACTTCCTGCGAACGTCACATGTTGAATGTCAGTCTTCCCAGTAATTATATGTTCAGCTTCTTGAATTGTGTGGTTAGGAACCAATGCTACTACAGGCCCTTAATCATTGACACAGGTCACTTATGTTGGTGATATACATGACCTGTTTGGTGGTACCACCCTTTTCCATTCATTTTGCATATGTTAACTCCCATTAAGGACATAAATAGCTATTATGAACTAGTCATAATGTAAAATGGAAAATTTCTCATTACTAGTGAATCTTTCTCTACTACCTGTCAGGTGTTCTGTCTTGAATTAGAAACTAATGAACATAGTTCTTATGAATGTGACTACAAGTCATCCTTCTCTATGTGATTTTATATAGTTAAATAAATGTTACTTACCCATCCAGCATTTTTTCCCTTCCTCCCTCCATTGTACACTTTTATGTACCTTAGTTTTGCCAATCTCAACAACTGTTCTGGTAGCAACAAAGGATAATGGTAGTTGTAATCGTATTGTCTTGAGAAATTGACCAATCCAACTGCATTTGTACTTTGCGTTCCTACTATCCAATCAATTACTAACAGTATTAACTGTCTCAATGTTAAATTAGAACGCGACAGTAAATGATGCATTCCCGACTGAGTGATTACTCCAACAATTACAACATAATATCATTCTATATTGTAATTACCTACATTTATTCACAACCATGTCATAATCGCATTCACAGATGAACACTTTCCTCAACAATCCAACTTTTTGTAAATAATTGCCTTCAATAAAACTAAGCATGACATATTCATAGTCAACATTTAGTTTGATTTATGCTGCATTATACAGCATTATACTTAAACTTAATCATCAGAATACCATTACATATAAACAAGAATCAAGAACATGCTGAATGCGGGGCTTAGTTAAGATAAGTAGCCTATAACTAGTTTGCTGAAACAATTTCTTGTAGTTACTGTTACAATTTATAAACAATTATCTTTATAATTCAAATTTCAACGAGAAAAGTAAACCTTTGAATAACTACACCACTTGACAATTACTCTTTCGTAATAGCAACATTTTTGTTAATATTTACTTCATACACAAGTTAAATACCTAGTTCCATCAGTAAAATCAATCCAGAAATGCCAGAAATAAAGAAATACCAAATTTATGCGAGTAATAATCTTTATTTTTGTTTGAAAAATATCAACACGACGTTTTTGAACATCCGGGAAAAAAAGAAGAGAAAACTTCCCCAATCAAACACCACAATTTGCAATGATGTCGCTTTTAGTCTCCTTTCATTGTCTTTTTAACACAATAAAAAATAAATAATTGAATCCAATGAAAATACAAACAAGAAGACATAGGAGAGGAGGGGGAGATAGAGATGAGAATTACAAAAGGATGATGTACTATTATTATGTATGAACACACATACATGCAAGCATTTGAAACAAACAAATACACTTCTAATCAACCGGTCAATCTTATGTAATAAGAAAAAAAAAACTGTTGACCACAACAACATCAACGACAACAATTAAACACATCTAATTAATCACAGACTTCATATACACACAAATGGAAACATTTAGCAAATTTTGTTTGTTATTCAAAACACCTCAGATTAAACTAATTGAAGCATTGGACAAATATAAACAGAAAAATGTACTGTACACATATTAACTTCTTTTTTTTCCTTTTTAACAATAAAAACGGTATTAAAATGATGTTGGGTTAAATGTACTAATGATGAATAGGAATAAATCTGTGTACACAATTATCAATGTTAGTTACCAATACACTTAAAATCCCAATTGATTGTTATTATTATTCTTTCTTAAAAAAAAAGTAGTTAGGGGGTGGAGGCGGGGCACTTCAGCACAGAAACAAAACTTTATGATGGAATTTAATGTTCATCAAATTATCACATAATGATGAATTTCATCAAAACATACACATGCACACACACATGTGAAATACATGCATAACATAAGAATAGACAATTAGCATTTAATTCAAGTCAAGAAAGAATCATCTTAGAAATCGGGAAATTTTATTTCTATTTAGAAAATCAAATGGATAATTAGTTGTTGTTGTAGTAATAGTAGAATAGCTGTGAAAGATAAACTGTTAATCAATGACATACAAATCCCATTTTTACAAGTTCATCTTAGTTGAGTTTTCATTTTTCAACGGAAAAACAAAACATGCAGAAGATACACATACATCTAACTATTTTTTTTAAAAAAAAAAAGAAAAGAAAAGAAAACGAAGAGAAAGAGTAACAACCACCGGGGGTAAAGTGTTGAATGTTCTCATTGAAATATGGAAGATTTTATTATTGATTCTTTAAAATGAAAATGAGATAATCATTCCCTCGTTTTCCTTGTGTGTGTGTGGGGGGGAAATGGAAGACAATTATTGAAGAAAGAAAACAGTAAAAAAAACAAAGGATGTAAACACATTTTAATTGAGACAGAAGATAAATCAGATTCAACGATGGTGAAGATGACGATTATTCTTTCTCTTTTAATAAAACAAACAAACATGATGATGATGATGATTTGACAGAACAATCAACAACAATAAGAAAAGGAAAATCAATGGAATTTATATCGAATTGTTTCTTTTTTTTATTTTTCAGAAGAAAAAGAACAAACAAAAACTTATTTTGTACAAGTTGAAATAGAAATATTTTAATCCATACACACACCCCTGTCGGGGGGGGGGACGAGGAAATAGTATCATTGATACTATTATTTGCAGTAGCCAGTAAGAGAACTACCTTGTTATATCAAACATGTATCCAAATGAATTCCCTGTTCATACTAGAAATAAGGCAAATATACACATAGATTTTTCCATATATATATGCATGATAAATGTTTGTATTTTATGTAATACACAGTCCTATAAAGGTGTTATTCACTACTGCTACTACTATTATTATTATTATGGTTGTTGTCGTTAGTGTTAATTTCTACATAGACAATGATATCTTATAAACATACAGAATAAAATGGTACAGGAGGATCAGATATTTTGCTTTCAATCAATCATTGTATAACAACCACCCCCACCATCTCCATTCGTAGCTCCAGATTCTGTCGATATTGTTGTTATTGCCTCTGTTGCACCTACTGGACTACTACGAGAAAAATTTAGTTCATTTGATGATATCGGTGATGTAATGGTTGTTGATATTGTTGTTGATGGTGA